GGCATTCAAATCTGACAACCTAATTTTGGATCCAAATTCATGTATATATTGTACCCTCAAAAATCCGATATAGACATGGGTCAAAACTTCCCAATCCCATAACTCGGTCAAAACTCAACCGATTTTCACGAGGTTGGGCTTTTTATTCATGGTTTGGCCCCTTTATTAATTTGGCATTCAAATCTGACAACCTAATTTTGGGTCCAAATTCATGTATATATTGTACCCTCAAAAATCCGATATAGACATGGGTCAAAACTTCCCAATCCCATAACTCGGTCAAAACTCAACCGATTTTCACGAGCTTGGGCTTTTTATTCATGGTTTGGCCCCTTTATTAATTTGGCATTCAAATCTGACAACCTAATTTTGGGTCCAAATTCATGTATATATTGTACCCTCAAAAATCCGATATAGACATGGGTCAAAACTTCCCAATCCCATAACTCGGTCAAAACTCAACCGATTTTCACGAGGTTGGGCTTTTTATTCATGGTTTGGCCCCTTTATTAATTTGGCATTTAAATCTGACTACCTAATTTTGGATCCAAATTCATGTAAATATTGTCCCCTGAAAAATCCTATATAGACATGGCTCAAAACTTCCCAATCCCATAACTCGGTCAAAACTCAACCGATTTTCACGAGCTTGGGCTTTTTATTCATGGTTTGGCCCCTTTATGAATTTGGCATTCAAATCTGACAACCTAATTTTGGGTCCAAATTCATGTATATATTGTACCCTGAAAAATCCTATATAGACATGGCTCAAAACTTCCCAATCCCATAACTCGGTCAAAACTCAACCGATTTTCACGAGGTTGGGCTTTTTATTAATGGTTTGGCCCCTTTATTAATTTGGCATTTAAATCTGACTACCTAATTTTGGATCCAAATTCATGTAAATATTGTCCCCTGAAAAATCCTATATAGACATGGGTCAAAACTTCCCAATCCCATAACTCGGTCAAAACTCAACCGATTTTCACGAGGTTGGGCTTTTTATTCATGGTTTGGCCCCTTTATTAATTTGGCATTTAAATCTGACTACCTAATTTTGGGTCCAAAATCATGTAAATATTGTCCCCTGAATGGCTCAAAACTTCCCAATCCCATAACTCGGTCAAAACTCAACCGATTTTCACGAGGTTTGGCTTTTTATTCATGGTTTGGCCCCTTTATGAATTTGGCATTCGAATCTGACAACCTAATTTTGGGTCCAAATTCATGTATATATTGTACCCTGAAAAATCCTATATAGACATGGCTCAAAACTTCCCAATCCCATAACTCGGTCAAAACTCAACCGATTTTCACGAGGTTGGGCTTTTTATTCATGGTTTGGCCCCTTTATTAATTTGGCATTCGAATCTGACAACCTAATTTTGGGTCCAAATTCATGTATATATTGTACCCTCAAAAATCCGATATAGACATGGGTCAAAACTTCCCAATCCCATAACTCGGTCAAAACTCAACCGATTTTCACGAGGTTGGGCTTTTTATTCATGGTTTGGCCCCTTTAATAATTTGGCATTCAAATCTGACAACCTAATTTTGGGTCCAAATTCATGTAAAAATGTAAGTTTTTCTTGTATAACATATCAGCTGTTGCAATATCGATATATATCGATTTGAAGACATATTATTGCTAAGCATAAATTTAACAATTTATAAGCCTATTTACCATATTTGGTATGCAGCTTATATAGCCTAAGCTGCTTAAGATCATTTCACTTCTTGAATACATCAGCCCACTTCCCCCAAAATGAACTCATACTTAAAGGTAGAGTCTGGCCCCTTGGTATATACACACTGTTAGGTGCTATATTTTTGGCTTGATTTTCATTAAAACCTCGAACTGTAAACAACAAAACTATATGATGAAAATGAAGTACAGATACCGCGAAAGGTGAACACTAAGAGTTTTGCTTGTATAGAAGGAAATTCAAATGTTTGCAACCCGACTTGAGAACTTTAACTTTTTGCACTAAAAATAACTTAGTTTTAAAGCAAAAATATTTACAAATACTTTAAAAAGTAATAAATATAAGCAATTATTTAAGAATGCATTTGAAAATATAAAAAGAAAAACTTTCGCTATTTTTAATGCCAGCTATAAGAAGCAGAAACAATAGAACTCTTCAATTTGTCAGCCTAATTTTTCGTAGCATAGGCAAAGGCAATTAAAACACGATTAGGCCCAAACTAAGCATAAGCCAAGTTAATTTTGGGTTGGTTAGCAGAATATACAGTGTATTTTCAGACAAAAAAGCATTACAAATTTTCTCAAGCCAAAAACTAAGAGCCCAACATCAAAGCGCCTACATGGCATATAAATATATAATTAAAAAAAATTTCACAAGCCATAAACTTGGTTAGTAAACTTTAATCTCATTCGCCTTTTATGTTCGTTTGAATTGTAACCAAATTTGCATAATAATCAAAAAATAAATAAAATATAAAAGAAAAGAAAAGAAATACAAAAGGCGAAAAATACGAGACAGACAGCTGCGAGCTGCTGACCTGATGCTGTGACAACAAAGTTCATAAAGAATTTGCGGTATTTGGGTTAAAAATTAATTTACATGTGAAACGGCAATGTGCTGGACACGGGCAGCAGCAGCAGCTCAGCTGTTGGTCAGCAGCAGGGGTCCAGGTTGGTGGGGGGGGCCAGAGGGAGGAGGGAGCAGATGATTACCAGCAGCAGCAAAGGCAGCAGCATCATTGAAAAGTGAAATTTGTGGCGGCAGAGAGACTGAAATGTAGGCTGCGTGACACTTTCAGTTAGCTTGGACGGTTCGGCTCTCGGTCATTTTCCAAGCTCATCGAACGACGATTAATCAGCTAATTTCTTTATGAACTTTCATTTACGCCGGCAGCAGCAGCCGTAGCCAGAGCAGCAGCCGGAGAAGCAGCAGCAGCAGCAGCAGAGCTGGAGCCGGAGCAACATTCAGACACGTTGCCATCATCAGTTCAGAGATTTTTGTTGATTGTCAACTGACTCACGACTGTTTTGGCTGGCAGATTATGTGCAATAAAAAGCAACAACAACAACAACAACAACAACGAAAAAATCAAAAACCGAAATTTAGAAAATCAATTTCGTTTCATTTCACGTGAACGCGGAATCGGAGACTTACATAAAACGGCGGCAACTGCCGCGTAATCATATCATTTATATACATAGACAGGCGATATATGCATAGTGTAAACAACAATATTCGCTTTTATGAACTTATATTTTATAATTTAATTACACACGATGCAGACGCTAAACTGGCCAAAGTCGAACTCGAGCCAAGTCCAAACACAATGCGAGCTCGAAATGCGAACTCGTAAAAAGCCGTTTAAAAGGGAAAGTTAACTGCGGCCGGCGGACCGCAGCCAGTGCCAAGGTTCGAGGTGCGAGGTAGAGCATGTTGCGCTCAGGTATCCCTGCCGAGTGCTTAACGGGTTTTTCAAGTGCCCCGGCCCGGCCCCGGCCCCGGCCGGACCGACCCGGCAGTGGCTTTAATTGATATTGTGTAACAGAACGCAGCGTGGCCAAAAAAAATGTAGGTCTGTCATGGCCGTAATTTGTTGTTATTGCTGCCGCTGCTGCTGCTGCTGCTGCTGTTGCCCGTGGCAATTGTTGCTGCTGCTGCTGTTGATCTCCAAAAAGAACCGTTGCGCTGCCAAAATATAGTGAAAGTTGCCCCGGACAACCGGCTGTGTATGCAAATCCAATATACCGAATTCAACAGAAATTAAAATCTCAGATGAAATTCAAAACGGCGCCCAGAATCCAGCTGAGCCCAACCTTGTGCGTATCTGTTGCAGCTACAGATAACAGATAACAGCGCATAAAACTATCTGACAAATTAATGACAAAAAGACAAACAATAAGCAGCACGAAAACAAATGCGCGCTAAAGCCGACAACTGAATACTCCAACAATAGAAGAACCCCAAGTGATGTCTTGCTGCGCTTATTGAAAACGCACAAATGAATACCCTTTTAATGCGTACAGGGTATTTTAATGTTGAACTAAAAACAAGGCTGAATATTTTGACATTAGCATATACCCAAAAATATATTCCGTATTTCTGTAACATATTTTTGTACAGAGTTATTCTAGAAAAGTTGAGAGATGATTTTTGGAACTTTGAAGAAATCATTATAGATTGTATTACAAGATTGCCACGCTCTGGCTATATAGGAGCAAGTTTATCATCTATTTTACTTACTTTTAAAAAAGGAAACTAATTTCTGGATATAGGGTATACTTGTTAAGTGCCTGCCTTATCCAAGCAAAGCAAGCGTATTCAACGATCTTTACATTATGATAGGCCTAAGATAATATAATTTACATATATTGTCAGGAGTATAATATATATTTTTAATATAAATTTATACATTTTTAAAATATATTATATATATATATGTATATATATATATATGTATATATATGTATATATTTTATATAAATAGTTACGCTGAGGTATGGAAAGATAAAACGTCTTGGTCTAATCGTACTTGTATTGTGCAACCTTGAGAATCACTTCAAGAATCTATTTTAAAAGCATTCCTGCATAATCGTTTAATAGAATGAATGTCAAATTGACGAAAATAGTTGTTATGGCCGGCGAAAGGGTATCAAGGTAGGCACAACTAAAGCTGAAGTGTGGCTGCTGTGAGTAGGTTGTTGGCTCGCTGTGGTTGTTGTTGCTGCTGGCAACACAATGCGAGCTGAACTGACATAAACTTTCACCAATTTCATAAAGCAAAGAGCGGGCAGCAGCAGCAGCCACAGCAGCAGCTGAGGTAAACAAGACAAAGCAATGTTTGCAACTGCGACTGCCGAACAAAGAACCAACAATGGTCACCCGGAGCCTGCCCCTGTTTGAGGTAATTAAACACGCTGCCCCGTTTGTTGCATGCCATTTAAATTAAATACATATAAATTAGTTAAATCTACAAATACAAAACAAATGCTGAAGTATATCAACTTGCAGCTCTCAGCGCTGCCAGGCCCTGTAGGCAAGCGTGTTGCCTGCCTCACGGCGGCGCCTCTTGTGATGATGTCCCTCGCCGGTGACATATGAGATGCTGTGGCTGGACTCCTGTCCCTGCTGGGCGGCCGATTTCAGGCCCAGCATGCCGGCCATCATGAGCGCCACCATGGCCACGCCCAGCGCCTTCATGGCCAAGGCGCCAATGCCGCCCAGGCCCAGCACGGCCATCATTTTGCCAAACATCAGCGCCATGGCCAGCAGCAGGCCCTGTCCTTTGTCCTTCTTGCGTGCCTCTGCGTAATCGACAAAGATACATAGGAATTCATGAGTCTGAGCTGGCAACAGGGCATAACTCGGCGTATTCCGTGCCTAGACTCTAGCTCTGTGCAATAAATGCCTATTGTCTGGCATTTTTAAAGGCCAACCTTGTCAAAGTTGCTGCTATGAATGTTGTATTGAATATATGACTGGAAAACTGGAGAGCCGAAAATTAAATACCCTCACAGTTAAAAAACTAAATCGTTGACTGCTTGTTCGTGTGGTATAGTTGTCTGATGCTGTGTTGTACTGTACTATACTGAGACAAAATGTTTGATTAAACGTGAAAAACAAAATCAAAATCGAATATCTATAATTTATTCGCTGGCTCCGATTAACCGCAACAAATGTACTGCTCGCAAAAGAGTCAAGTCTACGCCAAGTTTCATTATACTTGAAATTGAAAGACTCTTAAACTGATCTATCCAGTATATATATATGCTCTCTGAACTCGGAGATATCAAAGTAACCAGCATTTAATTAAATCGCTTTAAGCCTGGAACTTCCCTCTCTTATTAATCCTGAACCCAACCTCAAACTGGATGTCTTCGCTGAAAGACAGCCGAACTATTTCTTTTAAAAACTAGTTTTTTGTTCAAATATATTTTTCTCACATTTTTAAACACTGCAAGAATGTGTAACTACACGCCAAATATTCAAACTACAAACTGTTGTCTTGCAAACTCGAATCAGTGCTAAATTCTGAGTTGAGGAAAAGAATTTTCACTTCGAGCTCTTGTTGTTTTTGCAGTCTCGGTTACACATCGTCTGAATATTTAATGATACACTCAGTAAGTGTATCAAGAATAAGTTCTTAAGTTCGTAAACGCTTTTACAACTTTTTCGCATTGCAACTTTTTGCGTGCTGGCCACAGTTTTGCAAAACTGAACAGCAACAAGTGTCATAATCCTATTACGAACTTTGCCAGCAAATTGAACACGAAATGCAAATCACTTGCTTCACTTGCTTCACTTGCTACACTTGCCACACTTGCCACAACCCACCTGCCACTTGGCCGCCGCCGCTTGGCTCGTCCAGCAGGTCGCCCAGCTTTAGGTTGAGCTCGTGCGTGCGCAAGTACGCGGACACGCTGTCCAGGAGTGTGGCATCCATATCCGCGGCAGCAGTTGGCGGCGTCTCCACCTCGTTGTTAGGCACCGGAACTAGCTCCAGGCCACGCATTATTACCAGCGGCTGGTCGCTCTTGCTCAGATTGCGCAGCACATTCCGCACGGCCCGCTCGCCGCGACAGAGCAAAGTGCCGGAGTCCTGGCTGCAGCTGTCTTGGCCCGGCTGGGCGCTGGCGAGGCACACGAGCAGGCACAGTGCACAGAGTGGACGACACATGTCACTGAAGCGTTTGCGTATCAACTAAAAGCCTTGACAATGGCCTGGTCATATTTTATAGCCGACCAACTAACTATTCTTGGAGCGCTTTCCCAAGGCCAACAACGCACTCAAGCATATTCCGAAAGCAAATTGTCACAATTGAATTGAATTGAAGATGGAAAAAAAAAAATTAAAACAATGGCTTCGAAAAAATATAACTACTGGAAATGCTTTCAGTTGGCGTTTGCGTTTTTCGCGTTTGCATTGCAATTTTCTTCTTCACTGGCCGTTGCAATTTTCAATTTCCAATTTTCAACGGTCAGTTGGCCAGACAGCCGTGGGTTACGCTCGGCTGGGCTGGCGGCGGCGCCTTCACATGCCACATCAAAATAAATTCTCAACTGGTTTAGCCCCTCTTCATATTATACAAATTAGTGTGGCCCGAGAGTGCTACGGGTTTGTTTCTAACGCACTCCCCATAGATCATCCGACACGGTTCCCACAATTGTCTAGTACCCGAGCCGGAGCTTAAACAACTCTATTAGCCCCCCCCCAGACCAGAAGGGGGCCTAGAAAAGCGAAAGTTTACTCCAAATGTTGATTGCTGTGTCGAATGCGAGCCCAAAATGTCTTTCAGTCAGTTTACAGTTCGGCTCATAAAGTTGACAACAGAAACTGAACCCGTGGCGACCTTTTTTCTTTGCCATCAAGTGTTCCACAGCCCAGCTGTCGCCTGGCCCTGATCTGCGCTGATCTTCTTGATCTGCTTCATGCAGATAGTTTCATAAGCTTGGCCAACACCTTTTGACTATTTTGTAATATTTTGTATTAATCAAATTGACGTGACTTGAGTTCGTACAGCAACAGCCGCAGTCCATCAAAAGAAATCAGCAGCAGCAGCAACAGCAGCATCATGATCATCATGATCTCGATCATGATGACGATCATTAAATGATGATCGACGTAGCTGCGCACAAAAAGCAATAACTTTCACTCTCGATGTATTAATTTTTATATTTAACATATTGTTGTGCACTACCCACACACACACAGAGAGAGATAGAGACCTTTTTATTACTGGAAATTTGAAGCTCCTCATAGCCAAAAAAATATATAAAAAAAAGGCAAGAATGAATGTTAGACTCCGGCACGTCGACCATTAAATACCCTTGCAAATTTGTGCACACCATGAAAAAAAAAGAATACAAAAACCTTTTTTTGGACCAAGACGCTAAAAACGTGCGATGTTAATAAGATGTTGATTATATGTGGGGGAGATAGAGCTAAGTGCCAAGTTTAAGATTTATGAAGGTTAATATATCTTTAAAATAACATTTTTTTGTAATTTTCGACCGATTCATATTCGTATAGAGCTATATGATATAGTAGTCCGATGTTAAAAATAGATTTTGTTCTTCAGTAAAAAGTAAAGTGAAATTAATAATTGCCGAATTTTATCAGTATATCCGAATATCAAACAAGTTTTTCAAGCCAGAACTTCCTTTTTTCTGACAGCTATATGACAAAGTTGTATAATCCGAATAGTTACGAAATATATACTTTCAAAAATAAGTTCCCATGCATGGTTGTATGACAATATCTTTCAAACTCAAAGAATATTTTGCAAAGAAACAGATAAAGGAACAGACGATCAATCGATCGGTTGTTAATGTAGACATATATAGGCATACAGGCATATATATATTTGAACAGAAAGCGTTTTATATGTTATGACAGAGTTAAGATACTCTCTGTAAGGGTATAAATATATACATGCATTCATGTACTTGTACATATCTTTATAAATTGTATCCGCAACAAAAAACAAGTCAAGTCGCAACGTTATTGAACTGCGCTCGAGCCTCGCCGCATGTGAAGTCAACCAAAATTGATCTGAACTCGTTAAGTTTGGATCTTTTTGTTGCTGTTGTTGCTGTTGACGGCAATAAAAAGAAAGTATCTACCGTTGGCATCCCAAGCAGCAGCAGCAGCAGCAGAAGCTGAAGCAGAGCAGCGGAACCCGTTGCTCTGTTACGTGGAAAGCGCTTGCCGCACCGAAGTTCGATTCGATTCATTTTGAGTGCGACTCTTGTGACTTCATTCAGAGTATATTGTTGTAGTTGAAATTGTTATAAGATCTGTATCGTCAACTTGTTATAATTGAATTGTTGTGCAGCATCATCATCCTCATCCTCGTCATCCTTGTCATCCGCATCCTCATTACGCTTGGAGTATTCGTGCTTGCAATTGTATCTTTGCTTTGTATCCGAGTGATTGAGTGGCATTTGCAGTCGGCAGCCTGTTGCATCGTGGGTGGGTGGGGGCCCCCTCTCAAGTGCATGTGCCCAATGAGGCATCCATCACGACGGAACACCCTATTAGACGGCATTAGACATTAGAGTGGATGAATCAAGCATCACAAGAAAAGTTTCGTATTGTTGTAATCGGCTTTGTTTGATTCCTTAAGCATTATGCATGCGTGGCTTCCTTTAATTAGATCGCAGCTTGTCGTTTGCTAGACTACGCGATACCCTGTACTCAAGTTTAGACTTGTTCTTGTTCATTTTAACAAGTTATACTAAGAATTTCTGCATGGCAGTTTCTTTTAGTTAAGATCTCCCAACTGCGAGATACTCTGTACTTCTTTAAAATACTGCTTTGCAGTAGCTATTGTCTGTTATTATTGTTAATTCTGCACGACAACGAAATACCCTGTACCTTTTACATTACGCCAGTGTCCTACTATTTTTTTTTTTTTTTTTTTTGGGGTTGTAAGTTACTTTTATTTTTGCTAATTTTCTGTTACTTTTTACTTTTAGCAACTTTTATCAGCGTGAGTTTTGGTTAATGAAAGCTTAAGTTAAATATTTTCAATGTGTATATATATGTACATGTTAATTTTGCTTCATTATAGTCGGCGTTTGGCCAGGTCCATAGGATAACTCTTTTTAAGCCTCCTTCTTCGCCTCCTTAGCAGGTTTCTTGCCAAGACGTTAGGGTGGTTGCGGAGCTTAAATAAATGACTTGCTGTTTTTTGGTTAATAAGAGTGTCCTACTATAACTATTAAAAAAGCTTCAAGCGGCTTTTTAGATTAATATGGATATTAAGCGGATATCCCTCTACCGTAAACATTTTCTCTTCAACAACTATTTAGCTGGACTCTTAATCGGCGCTCCATTAGGCAGTTACTCCTCTTGAACGGGCAAATATTCGCCGACAGCATTTGTCTGGCCAAGAGTGTTTTCACTGTACTCTGATTAGGTCTGTCTTTATACCATACTCTAATTTCTATTCACACATATGAGATGATTAAAAGGAATATCTGCAGTAAATTGACTAAACACAAAGCCGTCTCTGGCTAAAGCTGCTCGAGTAAAAGGTACCCCGTAAGCTATTTAGGCATATGGATTTGCACTTGTAGGGGTTAAATCAGTTCAATTCGACTGTCTTCTCCTCTAATTGGCTCGGCAACTTTCGCTGTGAAAGAACGCATTCCAATAAAGTAGCCTTTTTTGTTGGTTTTGCACATTAAAATTTATTTACCAGAAAGTTTGCCTCCGCAATAAAATTCGTCTAGTCAATGCCTTCTGTGCATTGTTCTTTTTAAATTAATTTTTAAACTTTCTTAACAATGTTCTTGACCTTTGTCTCCCCTTCGGCACTTGTTATTGTTCCGTTGTAGTCAAAGTTGTTTGCTTTTCTTGCAACTCCTTTTTTCCCTTTTGATTGCACTTGATAAATAATCGTTGTTTATTTTCCTATCTATTCTGCATTTGGGCTGGATAAAAAACCTTCTTATCTTTTGTTTGCAAATTTGTTGTTGTTGTCTGGCATCAGATTTGGTTGAAGTTCTTTATTTCTTTGTATGCTACTTCCTGAGTGAACTATTCTTAAGTTTTAATGTAAACTGTTTGCGCCTACGTATGATTTTTTTTCTTTTCATTTTTTATGCTTGACTTTCTTTTTTTACCATTTAACTTTGCCTTGAATTTACATATATTCATGAAATTTGCTCTCAGTCAGACAGAATTCTGAGAAATTACATACTTGGGGCTACTTAAGCTGCGTCTGTTCACTTTTTCGCTGTAAGGCTCAGATAAACATAACATATAAAGTTACATTTGGCAGCGTTTGATGTGATATTTCTTATATTTCACTGTTTGCATTGGTGCCCCAAAGGCTGCCGCGAAACGTTTAGAGCCAAAAAGTATGCAACATACTGTGATTAAACCGCATTTCGTGTGGCATAAATTTAAATTATACACAAGTATTTGACGAACGGATCACACACCCTGTGGCTGGGCTGGGCTGGTACTAACTGGAAGGTAATTGGAGTAATTGTGGTAAGTGGGTTCGCAAATTGAATTTGAAGGAAAAGCACCCGCCGCTGCGGCGGGTGCTAGCTGGTGAAATCTAATGAAAATGTGCGAGTATTTTTAATTAGAAAACAATTAGATTGAAATAAATTAAACGAATCGCTGGGCGCAGGCAATCGATGAGGCAGCTAACAAAAATAAACACGAAAGCGCGGCAACAACAACAAGAGTATTATGCCAGCGAAATTTGTGCCGGAGAAAATAAAACTTAAACAACAATAACTATAACAACATTGCGAGGGGACAACAACAACAACAACAAGAAAACAACATTAAACTACTCGCACATAACAAACGCGACTCGGGGGCCGTCTGACTGCAACAATTAAAGAAAAATAAAAAGTGTTATTGCAAAAAATAAGTAAGAAACGATAATACATATAAGAAAAACATATATATGAAATTAATTTAATTGGCACTCAAGACGAAAAGACTTGCATTTTAGCATGACTCGGGGCCATTTACTCGGCCCGGCGGGAGGCAAGACATGCAACAATATTGAAAAGCACTCGCAACATGAGAACTTTTTTTTGTATTTTGTAGGGGGGAAAAAACGCTTTAATATTTGAAGAGCTGTTCGATTTTTTATTTGTCTTGCTTTTAGCCAGATGAATTATTCAGTTCTCACATTTCGCTAGCGATTTACTTTGGGCTCTAGCCCAAAGGGCGGGCAATTAGGACGTTTAATCAACCAAACTTAACAAAAAAAAACGTTAAAGTTTGCAAAACAATCAAAAACAGTCTGCGACAGCAACTAACACAAAGAAAACCAGCAACAAATTTGCTAAATAATGGGCTTACGTGACTTGGTGATACCCTGCTCTGCAGTATACTCTACATATATCGGGCTGCTGACTTATATGTAAAGCACACGCAATCAGCTGAGTATAGAGTTTTTTTAGGCATTAATTAAATGCAGAATTTCTTAATAAGATTTTGCATTTATCGAGTTGCCATGTTACATGCCCATCGAACAGTTGTCCATGCCCCTTTTACCCAATTTAAAGCCAAAGAGTGGAACTTAAAACAAATACCAGGTACAACTTATGAATGCTTTTGACAATTGCCGCAAGTTACGAAAAAACTTTTAGAGTAAATAAATTATTATTCATATAAATTATGAAACACAATTTTGTTAAGTGCAATTGAAAAACTTTGACGCTATTTTACAGCAGCCCCGGGCACAGTTATGGCCCAACTAACAGCTGCAGCAGCTGCACATGTCCTTTGAATAGGTAAAAGAAAAAATAACCAAATATGAGGTGTCTAGTCGGGAGTGCCAGACTATGTATCCAGACCTGCAGTTGGATATATTCCAGCTTCCTCACACTGTTCAAGATGCATTCTGGAATAACTTTGACCCCTTTTTTAATATATATGTAGAGCCTAAATCCCTAAGTCCTTTAAAATGTGTCCAAAGCGCTATGCTACGTACTCAGGAATGGGTTATTTTGAACTTTTGGTGGGAATGGAAAAAGGTTTCTAAAATGTGAAATATTCATATCATGGAGTTTAAAATGCGACAAGCCAAATTTGGTGTAACTGGCTTTTAGAACCCTCGAAATGTGATTAAAAACTGGAGAATATAGGGAGGAGGGTATTAAAATAATAAAATTTGTCCTCGTATGAGTTAAGAAGATTTCGACTAGACTGACGTATCATAAGATATAATTATAACACCTTCTGAAAGTGTATACAAAATTCTACTGAAAAAAAATATGAAAATAAATATTATTGTTGCGTTTGGATGTGGAAGTGGATCCAGTTGTAGTATGCACCTCCAGTCAAGGATCATTAAACTTAAGAGGCGCACATGCACGTGCACACGCACACACACGCACAGCTGACACAGTGGATTGTCGCAACATGGATTGGCATCGGATTACCACTTTCTGTACAATGGCAACGCCCGCAACAACATGCCACGCCGCGTCACTTTCCCTACCACGGCATTGGATGACGTGCCGAGCACGGTCACGGCCAGTGGACTGAATTGGACTGAATTGGACTGAACTGGACTGTTGCCTGGACATTGTTGGGCTTTGAGGCTGCTGCTTCACTTTCTGGTTAAACGAAACCACGCCAACCGCCTCGCATTACTTGCGCTTTTGTGGCTGACTGGCATTGACCGTGAAGAGGACAATGCTGCGTAGATTTGGCATCGGGTTGCCACAGCAGACAACAGACCACAGACAGGCTGCAACTAGGCAAGTGGCAAGTGGCAAGTGGCGAGTGGCGAGTGGCAACCTGTCATTGGCCTGCTCGCTGCGTCTGGATTATGGCTATTATGTTGCATAGATAAATCAGCCAGCAGGTGGCCAGGTGCAAAACGGTGCCACAGAACGAACGGTTGAGGTCTGATTGCCATTACCAAAGCCTTTAAATTATAGACAAAGCGCCAAAAGCTGTGGCAATTATATCGAGCACTCGAGTTGGCCTGCGTGACTGGCAAAGTGAATTCGTTATTAGCCAAATGCAAGATGCAGCACAAGGTGCTGACGCTGCCTCAGCCAGACGCTGCCCCAACCCACACTCGCCACATGTGCAACAGAATGTAACTGAGCCGCCGTTAAATGCGGTTCCAGCGGCTACTTATGAAAAACGAGAGCTAATCGCAGTTCGTTTCACTTTTCTTTTATTATTTATTATTTATTATTTATTTATATTTATCTTGGCAATTTTGTTACACTTGTTGACTGCTCCCAGCCAATTGAGGCGCCGAGGCGTGGCCACATCTTGGCGCTGCACCACCCCACCCCACGCCAGCTGCAGCTGGCGCTGTCTTAATTGTCGGCGCTGGCTTTGTTTGCTTTTACTTTTGCCTGCAAAAATTGTTTTCTGCAAATTACTCGCAAATTAATGAGCAGAAAATTAACCACATTAGAGCACTGCCTGGTCTCTGGCAGGGGCTGCAGGGCAGCAGTTATCGGCGCAGCAGGATGCCCTGCACATGTGTGCACATTTGTCGTGTTACCCGTAATTAGCGCAGCCCTTGAACCCTTGACAGTGCCAAACTCCAGCAGAGATCAAAGCGTCGCGTGCAACATGTGGCTAGAAAAGCGGCCAGCAAAGCGTCGTTCTGCAACAAATGCAGCAGCCGCACCGTGGAACAAAACGAAGCTCACAAATTCAATTTATAACCAAGTTCGCCTTTTAGTAAGCACAAAACATTAAAGCTATTAATAGATTACCAACATACTTCTTATATCCCGTATCTTTTTAAAATGTATCGTAGCTCTTTAGCTTCAACTTTGACTCTTAATTATTACTCATACGCCCAGTTGTAAGTCAATATCAATAAATTTGATTATGAACTTCAATCGAAGTTTTTGGGCTTTTAATTTATGATAATATAAAAAATATTAAAGCAGAGCGTATAAGTCATAATATACTATACTAATGTATGATGATAATTTCATTGTGTACTTAAATCAATCGAAATTCGTAAGCCTTGACACTCAAATAACACTCATACGACCCATTGCTTTAATTATAATATTTATATATATAATCCTTTTGATAATTATATTTTGTTGTTACTTATTATAAATTATTCAAATAATAATTATATTTTTGGTTATTTTTTCATTACATTCAACACGCATACGCTTTTATTAGAATTTTAATATATACATATATACATATGTATATTTCTTTAATATTAATATATTTCCTTAATTGTTATTTATTATATATTATTCAAATTATTACTTTTATTTGGTTATGTTTTCATTATGTTTTGTTATCAAACGAAGTTCTTAAGCATTGAGTCTCAAATGTTGCTCATACGCACCATTGCTCATTGACTAAGAAACAAATGTAGTCTAATTTTTTTATATTTTTTTTTTTTTTTATAAATGTTTATTGTCTTGGAACATAGCATACATTCTAGTTACAACACAGTTGAAGTCTTATTTTTATTCTGTTTTAAACGAAATGAAATCTCAAATATTAAGCTCTTTGCTCCACGGTGCATGGCATGTTTCTCTGCTGCAACTGGATGCCCGCTGAGCGATGGCCGTCACTCAGTTGGTTGTCTTGAAATCAAAACTGTGGCAAAGTGGTTCACAGCATAATATGCTTAGGCGTTGCTGCGATGCCGACGCCGCCGTCGCTGTACCGTGGATGCTGCTGCCGCTGCTGCTGCTGCTTGGCTAAACAATAAAACTGAGTTGCATGCAATAGCAAGTAATTAGTCTTTATAGCGGCTTGTTGCAACGCGCTGCAGCAACTGCCAACTACATTGAAGAACATCCATATGAAGGATACGCCGCGTGCTCGTGTTCGTCCTAATCCTGTGCTGTGCTGTGCTGTGTAGTGTACCGTACTGTGCTCGGCAAGAATAAAAATTAAAAAACAAGAAGAAAAAGGATCAAACTTTCAATAAATCAACACTAAAATGTTGCAGTACATCGCTGCGAGCTGCGCGTTGCTGGCGCTTCTGTGCGCGCCGCCCAACTCGGCGGCCATCCACAAACGCAGCGGCGCCAGGGCGGCGAATGCGCTGGGCACCGAAGCGGAAGCAACGCCCACGCAACCGAAGTTAGTCGAGAACACGGATTTGCTGGATAAGCTGAGCTGGAAGTGCGCCAACAATGCCAGCTGCCTGCACAGCGTCGCCAATGGCATCGTGGCCTCCTATCGCCGCGGCGAGACCATAAAGCTGGGTCTGTTCGATCTGGTGCGGCTGCCGCCGCTGGACGAGGCGCACAGGCACAAGTGGGGCAGCGGCCGTGCTCTGTCCAGCTTCATGGACTTTGTCAGCGGCAATGCGATACGCGTGCCCGTCGGACCAATGGTGTTCAGTGTGCAGCGGGCCGAGGACGACAGCGATTACATTGAAGTGGCGCTGCTGAAGAAGGCGTCGAGTGGCTCAGGTAATGGCAATGGCCACGGTTGCCTGATTGATCTGTGCCTAATTGGCTGGCCGTGTGGTCACTTAATCCCAATCAGAGCCCAAACATATGCTGTCCAATTGGAGTACATTTCGAGTAGTTGTTATGCGAGCCGCATTCGGCCGCCCGTTGACCTAATGTTTGTAGCTCCGGGCCAGCATATGTCGCAGGCCTAACCTTGGCAGGACCTCTGGCGCATATAAATGGCCTGAGGCAGCAGTAGGCATAGTTGGCATTATTTATATTCATTAGGTGTGACGCTCGTTGCGCAAACGATGCTGTTGAAAACATCAATCATATCACGAAGCACAAATCCAATCCAGTCCAAACTACTTTTGCCACCCGGCCCCACTCCCACTCACCACTCACACATTCAGCAATATTAAAGCCATAAAGCTTAAAACGTGTCCTGTTTCCACAAAAACACAACAGGACGCCTGCAGGGCAACGGCGGCGGCGGCGGCGGACTTCTAGGAGGCGGCGGTGGCCTCTTGGGTGGCGGCAACGGTGGCGGCGGCGGCCTTTTGGGTGGCGGCGGTGACGGCGGCGGCGGCGGTGGCCTGCTGGGCGGACGTCGTCGTCAGCAGCATCAGGACAAGAAACAGTTCCAAATGTACATACCCATGTATCTGGCCGCGACAACTTTTGGCTGGACCATGGTGGCCGCCAAGGCGGTGGGCCTGCTGACCCTCAAGGCGCTCATCCTTTCCAAAATAGCCTTTGTCGTGGCCGCCATTGTGCTGATCAAGAAGCTAATGGATAATGCCGGCGAAAAGTAAGTCGGACGCATGCTCAGCAACCTCCACTCCTCCCATCTCCCATTTGCAGAATGATGTACCAGTATCCGGAGCACACGCCCTACATGATGCCCTACGGCATGGACTATCCGATGCATGCCGCCGAGCTGTCGCCAGACATGTTCCCCGGCGCACTGCATCAGCTAGCCATGGCCGGCGGCGGCCAATTACCGCATCCCGGCCATCCCGGACTGGAGAGCATGGCCGCCGAGAGTCATCTGCAGTCGCAGGTCTCCAGCGATGGCAGCAACAATACCAATCCGCTGGCCGCGCTCGGCGCCTACGGCGGACTGGGCCACAAGATCAAACGTGAGGACTCTTGGATAGCGAAGAGTAAGTGCATTCTGTGCGGCGCCATAAAACAGCCTTACCCTTGTTTCAGATAGCCCAATTAATGTGGCCACTGCGCTTTGGTAGATCGCCAGCCCAACGCTGGCGCAGACCTGGCCAGCTCTCTGCCCAGATGCTCGCCGTGGCCGCGGTCGTGGCCGAGGCCAGCGTTGAGGCTGACTATGAGGACGATTACTGAGTAGTGTATATACCCTAGAATTGTTTGCTTTTGCACGGGCTTGGCTCCGAACAGGTGTATAAGATATTTCATTCTCATATAGCTTAGCTGAGCACCGCACTCTGAACGGCAAAGGAAAAGGTGAATGAACACTTGAGAGACTCTCATAATTCCTACGCTCTTTTTTTTATACCCTGAACCAATTGGAAATGTTTACCTAAGTGTAAAGTGTACAAGGTTTACAAGCAGGATCTAGTCATGTCCGTCTAGATCTAGAGCTCCGAATCGATCAAAATCGATTTTGATAAACTGTGTTTGAGCACTTCTCGAAACTCATAAGAGCTATAAACTCCAAATGTTTGGGGCTGAGAACAGAAGCAGCTCAGTCCCGGCATAAAAAGCGTGACTCTGCTTGTGGATATAATACTTGCAAGGGCAACTCGACGCTTGGCTTAGTGTATCCCCTAGACGAGTACTCCCGATTGCATTAATAGCTAATTCAAATAATATTAGCTGCTGTGGCCTTTGGCTACGACAATTTTCCATCCTCGAATTGGAACTCCTATTCTGTTTGTTAAGTAGCTTAAATGTCTGAGTTCCTTTGACTGCTTCATTAACCAAGCATTATTTTCCAATCTTTCACAAGTTTGTGGATAGCATTGGGAAATTGTCATTATATATCATACCTTTATATATATATTTTTATAAGAACCGAACCTTAATCAAATCTGTTACCCAGATAACTTACTAAACCGCAAGCCAACCCATATATTATTTCAAAAATTATTTGAATGAAATTTAAAAACTTTTGAGGGAGACTCAGCTTCAAAGCATGAACAACTTGTGGCTCAACTTTTAGTTGTATCCAGCCATATTTGGTAGATGCCAATTTATCGTTAAAATCATATTCATGCTTATAATTTAAATATTTTGGGATAATCAATTATTAAAACTTTAATTAAATACAATTTTTAAAAAATTTGCGAACAAGTCTTGCACCAAACCTGGGAGTTGAAGCGAAAGCTTTTGACTGAAACGTTCCCACTTTTGGTTTGCTAGGGACCATGGCACGCTGTGTTGTCCCACTTGTAATGCAATTTCAAATTGCAGCCAGATTTAAGCAGATTTTGTCTAACAAGCAGCACACTAATTTTTCAAACATTTAATTACTTTTAACTAACTGGGAGCTGCACATTTCAAACTTTTTCATTGTCAACCCTGCCCTTTGGCGGTGTATGTTCCAGCTCAACAAACTTGCAATTTTGTGGCATGCCACAAAATTGAAATGTGCAACAACTGATGTTTTTTAAATCTACCCATAAATGGTAAGCGGACAGGCTGCCTGGCAGAGCACGTTCCACAAAGTTTTCTAAGCAGCTATTGCTGTGTTGTGCAGAAAGTTGGAGTTCTGCCTGAACTATATATGGGCTTAAAGTCTATGCTGTTGCGACTTTACTACCACTTATTTCTACAAAAAAGCCGCAATTAAAAAGTGCACACACACCAACACACACACAAACTTATTCACTTTCTCTGCAAATCGCTGCATACTTTGCGGCTGCACGTAAAGCAAGCGCACAAGCGGGCTATCAAAAGGCGAGGCGGAAAGTTATTTTTCTGATTGCAAACTTATTGCGTACTTTCGATGAACTATTATAAAAAGAGAAGAGGAGAGGAAGGTAAAGTGTGGGCGTGGTTATTGATTAGTGAATTTGTTGCAGCCACGCCGGCAAGACGACCGCTTATCTACAACTATGTGCAACCGCAGATGCAGCTGCCCTTCTACCGCTCCTAGAGGGGCAACGGGATTTTCGAAGTCCTATAGCTAATTCGTGCAGCTTTGCAGCCCCTGCCGCTACCAAAGACCGTTCCAGTGTAAAGATGGAGGAGGCGAGGAGCTGGAGGAGAGGAGGAGAAGGGAGGGAGAGGTACTGCTGCCATATGAACATCTGATGGGAGGAGGAACGAGGCGTGCTCTAAGCTGCTTATTAACATAATTAACTTATTTATTTATTGCTATTTATCATTATTTATTGAATTGAATTGTTCTTAGTTTAGAGAGACCTAACGCACACATTTAGCCTAGTGAAATATGCTTGAAATTAGCAAGTGAAAATGCTACAAAAACTGGACAAAAAAATAAATAAAATAAAATAATAAAGTGGAGCACAAGTTGGCTCAAACGTTGTAATTGTGTGTATTTAACGTATTTTATTTACTGTGGAATACATAATTAACGTATATAAATAAGCAATAAATATAAATATAAATAAATAAAGTACATCAAAGAGTTTGTAGTTTAAGCAAAGGAAAAGCAATTAAAAAGAAAATACAAAGATTAAAAGTGAGAGCTGGAAAGAAGAGAAAACATAACTAAACGGAGGAAGACGTGGGTTCCCCCCTCTTCGGGGGGAATTGTAAATGCAACATTCGTGAAGAGTTAATAAAAAGCTTCGCATTTTTTTGGTAGTGCAATTGATTTTCTTTTTTTTGCTCATTCGTTTTATTGCGCCACCTTGCTTGGCTGCTGCGCACTGTAGGCCATGTCCTGTGCCTCCTGCGCCATTATGTGTGCCGGCACCTGGGCCAGGCCCTCCACAAAGCCGTCAAGGGCACGCGACCAGCCGGAGCTGTAGCTGTCATGATGTGACGGCACCTCCACAATGGTCTTCTTCTGCGAGAGCAGCTTCTTCAGCGATATGATGACCGCTAGCAGCAGCGCAATTTTGGAGACAATCAGCGCCTTGCCGGCGAGCAGGAAGAGACCCTTCAGCATGATGGCGCCTACCATGCCCGTCTTGGCGGCCATCATCATTAGGATAGGGCCCATGTTCTTCATTTTGCCGCGACCCTCCTCCAGCGCCTCGATGGGCCGCACCGAGACGCCAATGTTCAGGCTGCCCTGCGGCTCACTGTGCACCACAAAGTCCGCATTGTCCGAGAACTTGTAGCGCAGTGTACGCGAGCGCACGAATCGCCACAGCTTGTTGGCAATCAGCAGGCCGTACGACTCCTCGTCCGAGTCCATGGCGCGTGCCAGCAGCAGCTCATCCTCGGCATCATCGGCTACGTCCGGCATATCCCTAGCCAGGCCACATACATAAGTGATACAGGTGGCTAAAAGCTTGCTGATATGGTCACTCACCTGTTGCGCGACACGCGGAAATTTTCGCTCAAATCGAAATTAGACTTCTTAAAGAGGCGATCCAGAAAGACAATCGTCTTGAGCATGCTGCACGAATGGTTGTCATTCTGTATGCACTTCTCGTTCAGTTTGATCATGATCTGCTCCTCGTTCCGGTTACCATAATCTCCGTTTATCTGTGAATGGGTTCCAAGGCGATTAGCTAAAGGCTACAGCTTAGCAGCAGCTGCTGCTGCCTGATAACAAATAAGTAAATACAATTATTTCAAGTCATTTTTTAGACGTAGGTTGACATTTGGTTGCAGCCCCTGGGCTGTGCCTGGAATGTGATAAGAGCTGGCCAGGATATCCGCTCGAGTTGGTGTTTAATTTTTCACTCTTATAGTTGACTTGTTTATCCTTACTTTGCTTTGCTATTTGGGTTAAGTTGACCTTACCGAGTTATCACTTCCGCTCAGAGTGGGCGTGGCGCGTGCCGTGGCCAGAACGAGGGCCATGCCCAGCAGCGTATAGAAAGTGAATGTTTGCATCTTGTTTTCTTATTGTTGCTTTAGTTGATGTCTTATTTTTGTTATCACTGTAGTCTCTGTTAGATTGTGCGTTTCATAAATGTCCTGGCACACACATATACACACTGACACACACACACACACAGAAACAGAAACAGAAACAACCCGGCAGCGTGTTGGCTTTTCCGTCTACGCTCTGCTCGACTGTGAACTCGACTGTTCGGCGGCTGCTGTTGACATCGTCGTCTTATAAGAAAACCTAATGCGAATTTTCCGCCAGCGATTTCGATTTTATATGAAAAGCGGCCAAACACAATGCAGGCCGCAGTCAACGTCGACGTCGACGTCGATGTTTGTTTTTGCGACGTCGACGTTTAATCAAACAAGTCCCAAGCCTTGTGTGAGTCTATGTGTCTCTGTGTGTGTGTCCAAAAGCTGGAAAATGGCACTGAGACTTGTTTAGCCAGCTTAAGGAAATTCTGAGAAAAGCTGCGCGGCTGGCCTTGTCTTTGGCCAATTGACTTTGTTTACGTTCTGCTCACTTTTTGGTTTTTGTTTTTGTTTTCTTTGCCTGCCTTTGCCACAACAAAGCGACTGAAAGTAAACAACAGCCCCAATTCCCAACAACAAACACAACAATCTTCCCACAGACGCATCAACGATGCGCTATCGCATTTTTTAAGAGGCAGCTTCTTGTTTCATGGTGGCATGTCAAAAGCGCGTCGCATGCAAACGTGAAACTCTTTTCAGTTGCAGCAATTAAGCGCAGGCACTTTAACAGACATGTGATCGAGACTTTTGTCATAGATATTTGCTCATAGCTCAAAGGGGAAAGTGGAGCTGCGGCCAAAGCTCAGCTGGGATTACAAATCCAGCCTGGCTCAGAAGCCTTAAGTCAAGGCTTTGCCCTTATAATTATAATAATTATTAATAATAATTATTATTATTATTATTATCAATATTTTAATAATTCAATTTTATATTTATTTAATACATAATTTGTTGGGGCTCAAGCTAAGAAAGTGTCTCTCAGAGTTGTTCCTTGTTCGAAAAATGGTTCCTTTTGGTTTCGCATCAGTTGTTTTTTGAGCAACTGTTTTGGTTTGGGGTACACTTCATATTGGAAAACCAAATTGAAATTGCTTCTTCAAATCGGTTTGTGTATCATTTGCTTATTGGAACCTGCCCCACCTGGTGTGGCACTGACAGCAGCTGTTGCTTGTCATTTGCAACGCATTTGTAACCTTTTTCAGTGCCAGAATTTCACTCGCATTGGCATTTTCAATTTCACATTACCTGGAAACACGCGACGTTTGCCTTGTTGCACATCAAAGTGGGGCATAATTTATTGCATTTGTGTTTGCCCTGAACTGGGGCCTGGACTGGGGCTAGGGTTCGGTAATGATTCGTTTGACCGTGCACCCAGCAAATTGAATCAATTTGACTGTCATGCACGGGCAGAGTTATTGCACACGCTGCAACCAACCAACCAACAACAGCAACAGCAACGAGAAGAGGAACAACAAGAAGGCGAGTAAAGTAGGCTAACATGAGCCACAAAATGTGGCACGCCACGAAAGTGGCTGGCGCAGAAACCGCTACACGATCTGACCATAAACCGTTGCCGGTGCGTGGTCCCAAATCAAACCGCACCAAAATCAAAATACATTGCGTCCGCCCGAGCCAGTTAGCCGCCCCCTTCAGTCACCTCCCCCTGACTGTCTGCCCCTGGCCATGGCCAAAGTCATAACAATTTCTCAAGTGCTGCCGCTGCCGCTTTCTTTCGGAAAATGTGGTCCAGTCGCCTGGTCCGATGCTGTCGTCGCCGTCGCCTTGCCGGTGTTGTCACCCAGCTAGGCCAGGACGGACGCCGCTGCGGTTTTTGGAATTGACTTTGAGCTGCCAACACCATGTCCCCGGCCACGCCGTACGAGGTTCCATTCAGAAATACGTGGACAGCAGATAATTAAAAATAATTGGCTGAAGAGCCCAACTGATGAGTAAGCCAGAACTCTATTGATGATAAGCAGACAGCGTAAATAATGCTGATTCTTGTTTGTTTCATCAAAAGAAAAGAAAAAGCAAAAGCTCGACTACAGCTTCTCGACAAATATTATACTCGCACTCGTTATATTGCAGAAATAATATTTGAATAACATTCAATTATCACTCTAAATATCGAATTTTCCTACTTACTTTAATTTTACGAGACTTTCAAGAATCGATAAAAAAATGACTTTAAAGCGATTTTAATATTAAGTTAAATCGCAAGAATCAATTTCTCTTGGTAAATGTTTTCCTTTAATCGAACTAACATAAAGGCACAGGTAAGGTCCGAAATGAATCACGTTTCTATTAAAATGGCTTACAGAAATAATATATATATTATTATTATTATAATTTAAAGGAATATAGCTTCCTTTCCAAAAATCAAAAATAATTTCTAACTCCAATCTTTAACCCTTAACAAAAAACTTGTGCCCTCAATAATATGATTTTAAAATTGTTGAAGTAGAAGTGTTTTTATTTTGGGAGTTCCTATACCCCATATATTAGCAGACCTGTTAATTTTATATTAACAAAACAAAAACTAATTTGTTGTTTTCTAAAAATAAAACTGTTTCAATTAAAATTCAAAACTCATCTAAAACGTGACGAGGTCCTCAACCCAATGCGGAAGCCCAGATGGACATTAGTTCAAACACCAAGCTATATATTCAAATTTTTTAGTATACTTTGAAAACCTAAGCACACATTATTTCAGAGAGGCTCACTCTCAAAATGTAGGCCAACTCGTAATTTAAGTGGGACTCTAAGAATCCTGTTTTCAACTCAATTATCAATTGGTTTGTTTGCTCTTTAAAAGACCTTGATTAAAGGAAAGGTTGACCCACCCCTTATTCTCTTTTTTATGAATGCCAATTGGGAAATATTTGTAACGGCCCTCGTTAAAGAAAAGCAAGATTAAACACGCCAGGCCACTTTTCCTTTGCGCTGGCCGTCAATTTCTCGCCTCGGCGTTTCATTGCCTTAATTAAAAGCTGCATTTTATTTGTAGCAGCTTCAAAGGCAGCCACAGCGAGGCGAAACACATTTGGAGAAACATTCAATAGTGAAATTTTCTACCGTTAATTAGCACACCCCTTCGATTAAAGAGCTGCCCCGCCCCTTCCTAGCACCATCAGGTTGTTAAAAGCATTTGCTTTGAACTTAATATTGGAATTTTATTTACAGTGTAGCGTAATAAATATGCTTATAGGAATGCAATATGGCCAGGGCGCAAAATAAATAACAAAGACCTAACCTGACCTCGACCTGACCGGGACTCGTCTGGACCGGAACCCGATCTAACTCTTCTGCTGCTGCGCCTGCGGCTCGGCAGCAATGTCCTTGCCGCTGTTGCGTCCATAATAGCCATTGTATGCGCCCTCCTGGGCATCGCCGAAGCTGATGGAGTTGCCGCCCACCTGCTGAGCCTGGACCTGGCCGTCGGCCTGGTGGTAGCTCTTGCTGTAGTAGTCGCTGTAGGGCTTGGCAAACGATGGCTCCGGCCGATAGTAAGGACCGGGTGCACCGCCGCCATGGCCGCCCTCGAAGTGCTCATGATGATGGTAGTAGGTGGCAGCGCCCACGCCCTGGGGCGTGTACTCGGGGAAGGTGTTCTTGCTGCCAAAGAGGCCGGAGAGGCCGCCACCGAAGGCGCCACCGACACCACCGGGCGGGCGGCAGAGCTTGAAGTAGGCAAATAGACCGGGCAGAATTATGGCAGCCAAGCCGAGAATCTTCTTCAGGCCCGCAATACCCAGTATGAAGGGCAGGAAGAGCAGCAGCTTCAGCTTGAAGATCTTCAGCACCAGCAAGAGGGGAATTATCATCTTCTTGAGCTTCTTGCGTGCTGTGCGAAAGGAAAGGTTAGTCTCGGCTTAACAGAGCTGGGCAACTCGGTGCACTTACAGAAGTGTCCGGCACGTTTGTTCTCAACGACATCCAGCTCGTCGTCAATGTCATTGCCAATGAAGCGCGCCTCGTAGCGGCCCGCCTCGGTCAGCTCCTCGGGCCACTCCACCTCCAGCGCGGTGGACTTAATGAAGCTGTGCCAAGAAAAGGATGGGGCATTAAAAAAGTTGTCAAATAAAGGCGGAAGCATAAATATTATGCACAGGCTTGTGAAACTCGTGGCGACCCACATTAATTCAGCTGAGCCACGCGCCGGAAGACTTGAATTCATTTGACTAATTGCCAGGCCATTAGAAACTTACCGTTCGGCGCGACGCAGTGCATATTTCACCAGCAGATTCCAGTCATCGTCCTCTGAGCGCGGCTCCTCGGAGTACTCGAAGGGCTCCTGCAGCAGCGACCTCTGCTGGGTCTCCGGCAGGCGCACCACGCGCGCAAAGTCCGACAGGCTGTGGAGTAAGTGTCTCGTGTATATGTCAGCAGAAGAGAAGTCAAATTAGAGTACCTACCGATACTGATCCTTGAAGAAGATCTCATCGAACGTGTTCAGCGCCTGCGTCTTGAAGCACTCGGACAGATCGCCGCCCAGGCAGTTGCTATTGGTGCGCGCCAAATAGGGATCATTGTCATTGCCCAAGCCGAAGATGCTTAGCAGTGAGGAGCGACCATGTTCCTCGCCGGGCTGAGCTGGCTGCGGCTGCTGTGGCTGCTGTTGGAACTGCAGCGTCTGCTGCGGCTGCAGCTGCGGCTGCGGGGCATATATCTGCTGTATGTTGTTGGACGACTGCTGGTCGGGCAGACGCAGTCCGTCGCCGGCGACGATGCCGATGCCGCAGCAGGAAACGATGGTCAGCAAGGCGAGCGCGTTCATTGTCATTGGCTGCAAGACAAGACAACAGTTTGAGGCACGCTCAAAAAAAAAGCTCAAGCAACAAACAAAAAATACGATTTTCGAATTTTGGGCAATTGTGGCTCAAACCGGTAAAACGGCGACAATCGGTGTTTTCTCTGCGATTGTTTTGTCGGCTCTGAAGCGCGACTCTCAACAGCACAACGTGGGACTTGTCTTATGTGTGTGTGTGTGTGTGCGTGTGTGGGTGTGTGCGTGTGTGTGTGTACTCTGCTTTTTGGCAACTTTTATGCGCCGCTCATCGTTTGCTTATTGACCAAGCTGATTGGCTTTTAACAGTTGCGGGCTCGGCTCACAACTGACACACTTTTCAGCTGCTGCTGGGGAATCGCGTTTGTCATGGCCATTGCCGAAGCTTTTGGCCGCTTCTGCAATTATTTGCGCACACGTAATAACTCTCACTTTCCAGCCAGCAGCGAGCGTTTACTGTCCGCAGTTGGCTCAACAAACCGATAGGCGAGCTTTCTGTGGCTTTGGCGCCGAATTTTAACTCGACTGCCCCCGCCCACAAAGTGAAATGCAATCAAACTGGTTTTTTTTGTTATTTGGCTTGGGGTTTTTTCTATTCTTCACTTTGTGCTCACTTAACCCTTTGGCCGCAATGAGGCGGCAAAAGCAACTGCACGTAATTGAAATTGTGTTAAATGCAAGGCTAATCTACTGTATAAGCAGGAAGAGTATAAATGTGAATTAATATATTTAACAAATTTTATACAACATATTGCTTTATCTACAAAATTTCCCTTTTGTATTGGGGAACAAGGCAAAATATTTATGAAATTAATTTAATGCGCAGCTTAAATGAAACGCGTAAATATAAATTAATCAGCACCAATATTGTGGCACTAAGCCTAGGTTGCAACAAAATTAATAATTCTGTTATTTAATTTATATACTACATAAAAAAAAAAAATAAAAATTAATTATAGGCATGTATATATATTGATGCATCAAACTCTTGCATACTCTTAAGCTGCGCCTCATATTTACCAAAAAAAATTTCTACTGCATACTTTGTGCTGGACAATAACACATTTTCGCAAAAATCTCTCTCTTTATCTGAATTCTAGCTTATTTTTTACACTTGAATTATTAAAAGCCAACTAAATTCGAAGACCTGATCAATCAGCAGTAATCTATGCTGTCAGAAAATACCAACACATTTCCAAGGAACTCTCGAAAAGTGTATAGAAAAAAGGTCAAACCTTGTTCACGGTTATTGTCCCGAGGCCATATGAAAACAGTCTGTCCAAAATGTAATTGGTCGTAGCTAATTCGATCGAAAACCCCAAAATTGTACGGGGGTGTAAATAATAATCCGCTTTGCTCAAGCTGCCACAAAAAATTCGACGTAAACATATATTTTGCGCATATAGTTAAGAGGAAATTATACTATTTGGTGAATGCATCGAAATTCTGGTGAACGAAAATAATGGAAAATTGTGCTGCATTTATGAACTTTACGTCCCCTCCAGCGCCAGCCAGCAGCTCTTTTGCTCGTCGAACGTTCGGCAGCAGGTCGATTGATTTTCTATTAGTGCTTCTGTGGGCGGGGCTACCTTATGATGGCCCCAAAAATTTGCAGTTTAATCAATGCAGCAGAGCACAAAGAACGCGATTGCATTGAATTTTGCTGATGGCAGTGCTCGGAAGCGCCGCAAGCTATGCAATGCTCGGCGCATTATGGCAAGGGGGAATGTTTATGGCAGAATAAATGCGGGCGCCCAGAAGTAGGCAGCGAACTGTGAACTCTTAACGAAACTTTAAATACTCTGAAGCGGCCGGAAAGCGAGCTACATGAATATAACAACGGCCCTATTGGGGTAGGGCAGTAAATTTGCGTTTAATTTTAAGTGTAATTTATGTACATGCATTAATGTTGCTTTTAAATTTAAATTAATTGTTTTTTGGCAAAAATTGTTGCTCAAGAGGAGTAAACTATTGTCTATAAATCATTGCAAAATTGAAGACAAATATTGTGTGCCTCGATTTGTTTGGCTTTCAAATTAACATTAAGCATTGAAGGTCAATGAAATGCTCGATGCGCCATCTGCGTTGCCAAAGATATGCAAATGAGTGCGATTGCCCAATTAATTTATAATCGAGCGTTCACATTAAAAAACCAACACATGTATATACATATGTACCGACCGATATAAACATGTGTATACACACTCTTAATATTGCATGGCTTTTTCTTTTTCCATGTCACTTTTCTTTCTCTTGACTTGGCTTTTTGCGCATATTGCATAACGCGTCTCACTTCATTTCACTTCACTTTTTTTCGGTGTTGACTTATTTACCTTTTGATGCTTCCTATAGACACTTGAGTTTGTTGAGCTTAATCCTTAACGGCTCACTTAAGACTTCAGACCAGGCCTTTCAGCTGGCTTCCAAGCGACTGTGCTGCTGCCGTTGGCCGGCAAAGATTTTATATGAAATGCGAGAAGTGCCGAGAAAGAGGTGCCAGCAAAAACGTTGTTTTTGTGCCGCAAGCCGACGCACAAAAAAAAAAAAAAAATCAAAACAAAACAACATCCATAAACAATGGGCCAGAGCAGAGCAAGAGCCCAGACGGCAGCTTCAACCTACAATGCTGATGATAGCTGAGAGGCACTCGCCCGATCGGACGGCTCCAACTGGCCATTCGAGATGTTATTAGAGAGACGTCAACACGCTCGCACTTGCGGTAGGTCTGGGGTCTGGCCATTGGCTATGTAGGTCTGTGGGCTGCGGCGTCAACGACTTTGCGTCCGGGCTGGCGGCGCCTTGAGAAAATCCCAAAATTATTGTGGCGCACGTCGAGGCCTTGGTTTAAATTCGAGTTTAATTTCAAGAGGCCGATGACTCAGCGTGCGGATCAGCGGGAAAACGTACGTCACAGCCACCACGTCCAACAGATTATGTAACGCTGAGCACAGGTAATAATCACTTTTACTGTTCAAACTCAACTGGTTTCGACTCGTCCCCGCCCACGAACAGGGGCTCTGATTACAGTCATAGCAAAATGTGAACAAACTGCTTGCAGCCACACACACACATACACAAGGTTAAAAACTGCATTGCCCCATTTTTTTTTTTTTGGCTGTTGGCTGCTGCGCCTCTTTGGGCAAACCCCCGAAAAGTCAAAGCCATCAAAGCGGCTGAGATTTAATTGGGAAATTCCCAGATCGGTTGCCATTTCCATGTGCTTTCCCATTGCTGGAGCAATTGGGAGCTGAGAAAATTGCACTCACTCACAGCCGGAGGTGTAATTACCATTTGGGGCAACACAGAGGCAACTTGAGCAGTCCACAACTTTAATCCCAAAAAGCGGGCCTGTGACAATGTTGATGTGGGTTGGACATTTGTGGCAGCTGCCATGTTGCTCAGCTCCAATTGCAATCCAATTAGCCGATTCTCTAGCAAATTGTACTTGCAACAAAAGAAATAAATTGCCGCATGCCAAAAGTACTCAACAGGCAGTTACTCGCCAAAGTTAAATTTCTTCAGCTGTTAACATATCTTTTGCCCATATTCATATCCGATGAGATTTAGGATCGAGTCTCTAGTTAATAGCTTGTTAGCTTAAACTCATCAGAGATCAGAGTCAAACGAATATATCTAGCTGGACTCAGCTGTTGATGCTTTTAAAGGCAAGTAGGTATATACTCTCACTTATGTGAATACAGGGTATAATTATATGTGTGCAACTGTATTCACATAGCGTGCGAGCTCAACCTTTCAACTCGATGATGGGGTCGCCAAAACTTTTGAGGCGGAAATGTTTTGTCAGCCACACATACATATATAGTACATACATATATATATATATATATATATAAGAGGGACGCACGAAACTGTGAACGAGGGGGCAAAAACTAAATTGCAAATTAAAAGCGCAAAAGTATGTTGCGAATGTTGTGGTCCATGATTGTTGATGCTGTCTGAGAACAAAATATGTCCACAGAAATTGGTTGAATGTTGCAGAAACTCAAAATATAGAAATTTGTTGAAACTAACATTATTATAAATGAAATATGCTGCTGTAGAATTTGGGCTTAAAATGTATTCAATTAAAATATTCAATCAACAGCAAAACTAAGCGCTGCCTCTCATACAAAGTTTTCAAAATGTAAAAAATAAATAAATTTAGAAAATAGGTTTTCTAAATTCGTGGCCTTCTTTTTATTTAATTTTGTTTAATCCCAACCCAAAACTCTAAAGCTTCACCCTAATGAAACTCGTGTTGTCAACTTCATAATACATATAAAACTTTATTTATTCGTTTTTAGGAGCTTCAACAGCTTTGAAACAATTGATGCTGACTAAGTGGATAACAGTATTAAATAAGGTATGAATTAAATATATACCATATATTAAATAAATTAAATAAATAATTTAAATAAATACATTAAATAACTTGACTAAATGGCTAAATATAACAGTAAATGTTTTGCTTTGTAATTAAACTATTTAAACACAAAGAAATTCTCTATTTACAGCACACCCTAATTAAAGCCCCGAAACACACAGCCCGCCTTCCACCGACCCGACGCACACATATACATATATATAGATAGATGTGTGTGCGTGTGTGTGTGTGTGCGTATATCGTATATAGTCGCTTATACGCGTTCATGTATGGCTAGGCTAAAGTAGAATTTGCATAATTACAGCCACAGGCATCAACACCTGGCACCTGTGCCCGTGCCCCGGCCCTGACTTAAGCGAACTTTGGCGAACCTTAGCCTCGTGCGGCCTACGCCAATTTGCGTGCCTGGACCAATTTGTTGATGTCGTTGTAGGTGGAGAGCATTGCCGGATTTTCGAAATCCTTGAATTCCTTGCATTTAACAAACGACTGCTCGCAGTCGATGCCATCCTGGCCATCCTTGGCCGCGCGCATGTACTTGAAGAAGCGCAGGATGTCCGGATTATCTGAGGTCGGCTTGCGCAGTTCATTTAGTTCGCTGAAATAC